TTTCTCTTCCTCCTTTCTCTTTCCCCTTTTCTTTCATCTTTTCTCTTTCCTCTTTCTGTTCCTCCTCCTCCGTCCCCTCCTCCTTCCCCTCCTCCCTCCTTCCTCCCCCCCTCCTTCCCCTCCTCCTTCCCCTTCCCTTCCCCTCCTCCTTTCCCTTTTCCTCCTCCCCCTCCTCCTTCCCCCCCTCCTTCCCCTCCTCCTTCCCCCCCCTCCTTCCCCTCCTCCTTCCCCCCCTCCTTCCCCTCCTCCTTCCCCCTTTCCTCCCTAATCCCCTTCCCCTCCTCCTTCCCCTCCTCCTTCCCCCCTCCTTCCCCTCCTCCTTCCCCCTTTCCTCCCTAATCCCCTTCCCCTCCTCCTTCCCCTCCTCCTCCTTCCCCTTCTCCTCCCCCTCCTCCTTTCCCTTTTCCTCCCCCAATCGGCGATTCATCCGCTCCCTAATCCCCTTCCCCCCCTCCTCCTCCCCCTCCTCCTCCTCCTCCTCCCCCCCTCCTTCCCCTCCTCCTCCTCCTTCCCCTCCTCCTCCCCCTCCTCCTTCCTCCCCCAATCGGCGATTCATCCGCTCCCTAATCCCCTTCCCCCCCTCCTCCTCCCCCTCCTCCTCCTCCTCCTCCCCCCCTCCTTCCCCTCCTCCTCCTCCTTCCCCTCCTCCTCCCCCTCCTCCTTTCCCTTTTCCTCCCCCAATCGGCGATTCATCCGCTCCCTAATCCCCTTCCCCTATTGAGGGATTCGGGGCCTGTGTCATTCATGTTATTGTTACCTTTATTGTGTTCTTGTGTTGCCCATTCCCTCTCCTCTTTCTTCCTTTCTTTCTTCTTATTCTTATTCTTAGTCTTATTTTCTTTCTTCTCTCTATATCTATTTATCTGTCTGTTTGTCTATCTATCTATCAGTCTATCTATCTATCTCCTCGTCAAGTCTCGTCTCTCTCTCTCTCTCTCTCTCTCTCTCTCTCTCTCTCTCTCTCTCTCTCTCCTCTCTCTCTCTCTCTCTCTCTCTCTCTCTCTCTCTCTCTCCCTCTCCCTCTCCCTCTCCCTCTCCCTCTCTCTCTCTCTTTCTCTCTCTTTCTCTCTCTTTCTCTCTCTTTCTCTCTCTTTCTCTCTCTCTCTCTCTCTCTCTCTCTCTCTCTGTCTCTCTCTCTCTCTCTCTCTCTCTCTCTCTCTCTCTCTCTCTCTCTCTCTCTCTCTCTCTCTCTCTCTCTCTCTCTCTCTCTCTCTCCCTCTCTCTCCCTCTCTCTCTCTCTTTCTCTCTCTTTCTCTCTATCTCTCTCTCTTTCTGTGTGTGTATGTATGTGTGTGTGTGTGTGTGTACATGTGTGTGTGTGTGTGTGTGTATGTGTATGTGTGCGTGTGTGTGTGTACATGTGTGTGTGTGCTCGTGTGTACATGTGTGTGTGTGAGTGCTTGCGTGCGTGCAAGGCACCTTTTACTCTTTACAGAAGCGTTCAAAGTAATTCAATTAACGTGATTGGCTGAGAGCATACCGCGGGGACTCTAAATGGGCCGCACGACCTTCCAAGCCCGGCTACGACCTCCTCCGGATCGCTTTCTGCATAATCACGACCTCAGAACTCATTACTCCGACAAGTACGACTTTGTAGAGGCACGGCCACCCGAACCGTTTTGTTATAACTACGACTTAGAGCAAAAAAAAACATTACGACGACTTTTTTTTTGAGAGAGGGAATGTTATGACAAGGGACGACCACCTCATAAGTACGACCTGAGGATTGTACGGTTGGCATGAATGCTTGTTTTAACTGCGACTTAGATGTGTGAAGTCATCATGCTTCTCCGTACGACCCCCGTTTCCCTCCCTCCCTCCCTCCCTCCTCCCTTCCCTCCTTTCCTCCTTCCCTCTGTCCCTCCTTTCCTCCTTCCTTCTCTCCCTCTCCCTCCCTCCTTCCCTCCTCCCTTCCCTCCTTTCCTCCTTCCCTCTGTCCCTCCTTCCTTCCTTCCCTCCATCCATCCTTCCCTCTCTCCCTTCTTCCCTCCTTCCTTCTCTCCCTCTCCCTCCCTTCCTCCCAAATCCATAACGACTCTCTCCCCTACCTCCCCCTCTCCCCTCCCCCTCTCCCCTTGCCCCCCACCTCCCCCTCTCCCACACTTCCTCTCCTTCCCCCTCTTCCTCTCCTTCCTCTCTCCCCCCACCTCCTCCTCTCCCCCCTCTTCCCCCTTTCCCCCTACCTACCACCACCTACCTTCTCCCTCCCACCTCCCCCCTCCCCCTTCCACCCCCCTCCCTACCTCCCTCTCTCCCCCTCCTATCTTCCCCCTTTTATGATGCAGCACATTAATCACATCTCTTGCTTTTAATCCCTCGCCTCGACCTGTTGGCTGTCGGCTGCGGTTTGGCACTGTCCTTCCCTCCTCCCCCCCCCCTCCCTCCTCCCTCCCCTCCCTCCTCCCTCCTCCTCCCCCCTCCCTCCCCTCCCTCCTCCCTCCCCTCCCACCATTCCTTCTTCCTTCCATCCCTCTCTCCCTCCTTACTTTATTTTTTTCTTCTCTCTCTCATTCCCTTCCTCCCATCATCCCTTCTTCCTTCCCTCCCTCTCTCTCTCCTTGCTTCATTTTCTCTCTCTCCCTCTTCCTCCCTTCTTCCCACCATCCTTTCTTCCCTCCCTGCCTTCCTCCCTCCCTCCCTTCTTACCTCCTTGCCTCATTCTCTCCCTCTCCCTCTCCCTCCCTCCCTCCTTTCCTCCCTAAATAAATAAATAAATAGATAAATAAAAAACTGTCAAAGTGCGACTAGAAAGCAGATAAAGATGAAATAGAGTGGATGACATAAATGATAAAT